CGAAGCAAGACCAGCAAGGAAAACTTGTAAGCACTGGACGGCCATTTCGTCCTATTTTGGGACTCCTCATCAGTGACTGGCTTCAAGAGGTACTTCCTGGAATTCTAGTGAGAAGTAGTGACCAGTGGAGTTCAACCCACGTCTGTTGTGAGATAGGAACTCACTGAAGACAATTGGTGATTGGTTGCTCAACTTCATAGATACTATGTGTTGAATGTGAATTGCATTTAGGATACGCATATTTCGGACATTCTAATATTGAACAACAGATAAGCAAATAAAAAGGTGCAGTGATTATATAAAACATTGGAGTTCGGTAACACACACCGATTAAGAAAATTACAAAGTGACTCCGTTTCTATAATCATAAAAGAGAACACAATTGGGGACAATCAAATGTATTTGAATACAAAATTACAAAATCACTTAGTAAAATCTGAGAACCATACAGGAAATACTTCATTTGCAAAATGTCAATCAATCGTCTAAGACTTGATTGTTCTTTCTTTCCCACATCAATCAATCTTTTTTTTTCTATTTTCTCCGATTTTCTTAACCTTCTGCCTCCAAATATTTCATTTTCGATTAATGATATATACTACTTATATCTATCGATATCAGTAGCACACACCACAATATAAATAAATATGCAAACACGTATACACCGCTATCTATATACACTTGAGAGAATGGTTGAAAAGATTAGAATATATTCACTTATCCATAAGCTTAGAGAAAAAACCACATAGAAATGTGGCTTAATAAGTTAGTACATACTTTACAACAATCATAAACAAGACAAAAATGTTTCCATATAACTTAAGTAAACAAAAACAAGTTCAACTTAAGACATGTGATATGTAATATTATTTACTTAATTAAAGTGACCTTCTAAATTTGTTTTGATTTTTATCGCATAAATAATGATGATATCTAGTAAATCAGAAGAGGTTTTGTGGAGACTGATAGGTCCTGGGTTCGAATCTCGTGAGGCGGGGTCATGGATGAGCACTGCTGAGGAGTCCCATAATAAGACGAAACGGCCGTCAAGGTTTTTCATGGTGGTCTAGCTTTAATTGACTCATGATTTCAACTATGAAGATATCTAGTAAAGCGAAATTATAAAATTAATGGTTTCTAATCAAGGTTTCTATCCTATTGCATAAATTTATATACTTTCATTAAGATATCATAACAATTACGCAAGGAAAAAGTGACAGATTGTTACTTTCTTATATTATTAACCTGAATTGAGGTAGTAGAGAAGATTTGTACCTCAGGTGGTTGATTTCGATGAAGTTTTGTTCTCTGAGCTGGATGGTTTGATCGTGGAGCTTTTATCGTTATTCTGAACGATATTATCAGCATTAACTTCAGGCAGAAATGAAGTGTTTGGATTTCTATACATATGGCTAACAGCTTGTTCTGTAGACCTTAATCATGATTGGTTATTGCTGACCTTAGAAGATACAACCAAAATAAAGAAGTAAACAGTGGAGCGTTCAACTTACGTACCCTGTGTAATATCGGCCAGAAGGTCTCCTTGGCTAAGACCCTAGAATCTCGTACCATTGATGTATGCTGTGTTTCCGAAACACACATACAGGATCCTAGTGTGATCAATCGCTTCGCCTCACCCCGCCAAAATGCGGAGCCGACGAGATACACCTTCCGTGTATCTGGAGACCCCATGACTAGTTCTCGTGGACCTGCAGGTGTAGGCATAGCATTAAGTACGAGAGTAAAACAAGCACTATTAGAGTGGATCCCCATTAACACTCACCTATGTGCTGATCGACTGAACGTCTTTGTAAGAACTTGGAATGATAGGAACACACGTCATTACCTTTTTGTCATTTCTGCATACGCTCCCACTGACTTCAGTCATGATGAAGTGAAAGATGACTTTTACAGAAAGCTCTCTGAACTTCTTCAAAAAGCTAAGCGCTGAGACATCGTACTCGTAGCGCGTGACATCGACGCCCAAATAGGTAGCTCAAACCAAACACAAAGATATTTAGGTGATTATTTTGGTATTCTGGCTTAGCGAGCAGATAGTGATGACCACCTGCTGCAACTGTGTTTAGACAATCGTTTGTTTTTAGCGAACACTAATTTTAAGCTTAAGTAGAGACATCGTCTAACATCATGATCTCCTTGCACCAGAACCAACGATGGACTCGAATAAACCATATTGTCATCAGTCATTGTTGGGGAGGCTCGTAAGAACACTATTGCTCGTTCTGAAATACATGTTTAGACTCTGATCACGCTCTAATAGGAGCACGCATTTGCTTGCACCTCAATGAATGCAGAAAAACCACATCAAGAAGACTCATTAGAGTTGAACTCAGTGACGAGAAAGCCAAACGTAGATTTCACGAACAACTGAGATCACACTTAAGCAATTTGGAAAACGATTTTGACCCATGTGTTGCCTGTAAATATGTACGAACAGCTGTGGAAATACCAGCGAGATCTATTAGCGATTCGAACCAAAAGGTCACGAAAAACCAATCTGTTGCACTGATAGCTTCTCGTAAACTCATCTTACCAAGCTCCGAACACGACGAAGAGCGAAAACAAGTCAGATCTAACTTAACTAAAAGTCTACGGAATGATAGTGAGTAATGGCAGGCAACGAAAGCAAAAGAGATGAAAAAGTCAGAAGATGTAAGTAACACCACACATCTTTTCAGACTAATAAAAGAGACTGGAATTAAGAAGTCAAGTGTGAGTGAAACGATCTCGAAGAAAGACGACACTTTTATCTGCTCTCAGCCCAAACGTCTAGAACTATAGGCGGAACACTTTAAGGAGCTGTTCAGCTGGCTTTCGGCTACCCACCATTTCACATCTAATGGAAAGGTGGAATGTTCACATAGTCATTTTAAAGATGCTTTCACTAATTGTTCAAGTACCTGGCTGCGATTTTTTTTATTTGAAAAACGTGGTGAGGAGGATAAGATGAGGTGAGTGTGAGTTCGAAAACTCCATCAAGTTTTATTTGAAAATACACATTTCAGATAACGAATTATCATCTATCCATCACCGAAGATGAAAACACAACAGATTTACGACACATACTACTGAATTACATCATTTAATTAGCCTACAAATGCTGAGTGGACTTGTCTACGCTTTCTATAATTGCATGAAACGCATACTTACAACCGCGCCGATCTATGTCAATATGTATATACACTGGAATGTATCTCTGATACCAGTATTGGAATATTTACATATGAAGCATACTTGGGGAAAGTTCCATGTATCTACACTGGTGAAATCATTAATAGCTCATCAATGCTTTTGGTTTAGATAAAAGCTTTCAAATGTGAAAGGAAATGGTAGTGTATGACAATAAGAATACGTCTGCATTACATGGTGTAGGTCAAATAGACCCTTCATACTACTGATATCAGAAAACCTATATACAGATTCTCCGTAGTGTTCAATTGCACTGACTTTTCGAAGCTCTTCTCCACCCGAATAATCATAGGACTCCTTCATTCTGTTTGGCGGGATAACTGTAACTGTAAACAAAATAGTTACTTTCATAGTTGAAAGCATGAGTCAATTGAAGCTAGGGCACCAAGGAAAACCTGGAAACACTAGACAGCCGTTTCGTCCTATTGTGGGACTCCTCAGCAGTGTGCATCCACGACGAAACGACCGTCATTTGCTTCCAGGTTTTCCTTGCTGGTCTAGCTTTAATTGACTAATGCTTTCAACTATGAAAATACTGAAATCTCCACACAAAAAAACCCCTTCTGATAATAAAACAGTTATTGATTCTTCTCTGCCTTAGTAACACAACTTCATAATCATTACGTTATAAAATTGCATACAATCCTTTCTATCTCTTATCTAGATCAATCATTTTATTTGTGACTGACATTCAATCACGTGATTCTCTATATATAACGTTAGCATCTATTCATTCTTATACAATCACAATTATTTCTATTTATTTGGTATGTTTATTCAATACTATGTGGTTAACATGTGACTACAACAACTTTCTAACTAAATTCATTTATATGTTACTAAGGTAATAACACTAATGTAAGTAAGATTTAATTGGTTGCTAAGTTGCAGATATTGACAAACATTCAACTACTTTAATCAATACATTCTTTCTTTACTATCATATTGGTTTCTGCTTTAAACTCTTTAAGTTAGAGGCTATTTGTAATTGTATTGATTAAAAAAGTATTTGCCTAACCTAAATTATATTTCATTATTTTAGGTTATGTATAATGTACCTGTCATAAAGTGATTCAATCCTTGTATAGAGTATTGATTGTATATCTAGTCAAGTAGTAACAGAATCTTGGTAACAGGTTATATTATATCAATAATACCGTGGAAACAGAGAATATTTCAATTGTTGTTATATCAATTTTTTAAGTAATACAGGTTGTAGATAGGTGGCGAAAACCTTATTTTGCTAAAAAAAAATATTTATTCACGCTCCCCCCCCCAAATAAGATAAAAACAAGTGTATGACACTGTAGTTCATCTATATTACTCAGATAAGTCACTTCACTAGCTATGTTGTAATGGTTCAGAGATTAGATTTAGAATTGCATCTTTTAATTTTGTAATTCAGATACTGATAAATCTCTTGTAAGCTATCTATCACGTTAAATTCACTTAGTATTGTATGTTTTAATCTTCCCATTGATGTTTCTAGGACTGCAACTGGTCAGTCTCTTATTGGCATATGTGCATCATACTGTGTGTATTGCCTCGATATAGCCTTATTTCACAAGCATTGAGGGATAGTGGCTAGCAGTGGAATCCAGGATGCACATATGCCAATAAGAGACTGACCAGTTGCAATCCTAAAAACATCAATGGGAAGATGCAAACAAGCAATATTAAGTGAATTTAAACTTCACCCCATTGCACAAGCAGGTGGCTATCAGGACTCAGTAGCTGAGTGGATAACGCGATGGCGTTTCAAGCGAACGGTACTGGGTTTGAGTCCCAGAGTGAACATCAACAAGTCTGAGATGCAGGTACATCCAGCTGACGAGTCCGGAATAGGACGAAACGTGCGTCCTGGATTCCACTGCTAACCACTATCCATCTTTGCTTACAATATCTATCACGTTATTTGTATTTCGAAAAGTCAACTTTATGTAACTAATTGACTTTTGGTGTAACAACTGCTTGCTGACAAAACATAGTTTATGTGAGATACTCAAAAATAACTCGGAAGCATTACAAGAGCGATTAAAAATAGGATGGGACGTTCTGCAGAAGAAAATTGGATAAGTATCGTTATTTAATTATAACAGCAAGTTCTCATACATCAGGGCTGATGACATCCTAACGGAAGCGCTATATCTGGCATCGCCTCTATTTTGTACATGTCAACTCTGTTCCATCTGCGGCCCTACTATCTATACTTAGAAAGAGGAACCACTGAATGCCTTACGATACGAAGTAAAGATACAAGGACTGGCACAAACGAAGATTTATTACTCACTTACTAACTTATGCCTGTTACCCTCGTGGAGCATAGGCCGCTGACTAAGATTCGCCATAGAACTTTGTCCTGGACAATCCTTCCCAGTTGCTATCCATCCTTTTGATGTCTGCTACCGATTCCCGACGCAATGTGTTTCCTGGTCTTCCTCTTTTACTTTTTTCCTCAGGATTCCAAGTTATCGCTTGGTTCGTCCTGCATTTTGATGGTTTCCACAATATATGTCCTACCTACCTCCAGCGTCTTTTCCCGATTTCCTCTTCAACTGGAAGCTGGTTTATTCTTTCTCACAGTAAGCTGTTGCTGATGACATCCGGCAGACAGATCTACAGTATCGTGTGTAGAAAACTGTTTATAAATACTTGTACTATTCGATGATTAGTGTATTAGTTCTTCAAGTTTTAGATCCATACAGTAGAACTGTCTTGACGTTCGTATCAAAAACATCATCTGACAGTTGTTTTGAATCCCATATGTCCATCAATTGTAGGAATACCGCCCTTGTTTTGTCAATCCTTGCCTCCACATCTGCATCAGATCCTCCTTGTTCATCGATGATGCAGCCCAGATACGTAAAACTTTTCACCACTTCTAGAGCTTCCCAGGCAAGTGTGATTGGGTTGATGCTCTCTGTGTTGTATTTGAGGATCTTGCCTCTTCCCTTGTGTATGTTGAGGCCTACTGCTGTACTGGCTGTCTCCATCTGCATTTGTTGGTGTGTATGGGATAGAAGAGCTGGGTCGTCTGCAAACTCAAAGTTGTCTAGTTGCATCCAAACTGTCCATCGCATTCCGCGCTTCCCCTGAGGTGTGAAAGTCTTCATAATCCTTACTTATAACTAAGGAAATTGATGTATAGTGACGAATTCCATTTAGTTAGTTGCTCAACGATGATCCATAGTGTCGCAACTTGGTCTTAAGACAACCTATCCTTACGGAATCCAGTCTGTTGATTTTTAATTTCGGCGTCCACTGAATCTTAACCTACAGAAGATCTGTTAATAAGGGTACTTGTTAAACACTAGTTAGTTTGAAGGTTTTTTTAATATCTTTACTGTTATTGATCTGATATTTGATACAAAAAGCTACGTAATATATTATTTGTCCACTAATCTACTTTTTTGAAGGCATTCTTTCAGTTAAACGTACTGCCTAATACAATCAATCCAACTCATATTTAGAATAATTGTATCTACCTATTATTTACACGACGACCAGACATAGGATTCAAGTATCTAGGTAAAAAAAAAATCAAAACCGGTTTAGTGATTGAATATCATAGCTTGTTCAGATACAACAGCCAACAATTCAGAATAAACTTATGGGATTCTTCTGCGGATATAGGCCAATTAGGTAATAATGATTATCAATATTACTACTATAATTTGTGAATAAAGTTGTACATTTTATAAATAAAACTAAATACACATACCTTGTGATCAGCATGTTCTAGTGTTTATCGATCTAATGCATAAGAACTAGGTCGGTCAGATTTTATTCAATTAGAAAGTAAGGGGCTGACAAAACTAAATTCCCTCAAATCGCTTATGGCATCAAGTCGTGTGTTTTTCTGCTAATAATTTATGTGTAAGTATGTAACTTAATGAGTAAGGAAAACTATTTTTCCACCTACTGTTGTTGTTCTTGATCTCAGTTCATTCGTAGTCGAGTCAATATTCCTGTCATCTGAGCAGCCAGCACCCGACCACATCAACAAATCATCATTCATTTTAAAAGTAATAACTTCATCAATTGATAAGATCTTCCTCCATAACGTTTGACGACTTCAGATGATTTTGGAACTGTATTACTTAGCCATTAAACTGATTTGACAAGCCCATATATAGTCTGAATTTATTGATAAGAGAAACTAATATACAGGTCAAATGACACTTAAAGTCTCTTTAGACCAGTCTAAGCTTATAAATAAGGACTGATAACATCCCTTGACAAGTATAAGGAAGTAAATCCTGTTAATTTAATTTTTTTAAGCTCCAAGATACTATCATACAGAGGATTAGGTATGTTTCACTACTGGTCAAGGATATACTGACCACATAATCACTCTTATCGATTCTAGAATAAATATAAACTTACTGGTGCTATGCCATACTCTATCCATACTTTATATGAAAATATTGTATATCTTTTTCCTTCATTTTATACCTAATCATCTCTACTACTACTGATACTTTCGCTACTCTGCGATTGTCTTGGTAATTTTACCTGTGTTACTGTAGTGTGGTAACTCGAACCAATACACATGTAATTAACAAGTTCTATATGCATATGACTAGCTGACTTGCTTTTAATTAACTGGAGAATATGGTGACATATCTTAGCAAATGAGATCACAATATAAAAAAACATTTGATAATATGTGGCTGTCAAACAACTGATTGTGAGGCTGTAATCATAGCTAATTATAATGAGTGTTGAGTAACAAAGATATTGAGTTTGTCCATAACTTTCTAAAAATCACCCATATTGCTACCAACTCACCATACCCGAAAATTCTAGACCACATTGAGATAAGCTAAAAGACATTATTATGCTAGGTGTATGGCTTAAGAAAATCCAGAACAATAATATTCATAAGAATAGACGATATACCACCTTCCAACAAGAGATCAGTAGTTAGTGTTACAGTGCTCACTTTTCAATGTCACGATTATGAAGTTGATCAAAGAGGTAGATATGAAGTCAGTGAATTCAATAAGCGATATCTTCAAAGTACTAGTCGTACGCAATAAAATTGTCAACCAGAGTAGAGAAACAATATAGCTGTTGCTAATTTGCAACAACCATGCCGAAAACCGGCAGGAAGCTGACAAATACTCATGATTTAAACAAGTCAGATATTAATGTTTAGTGCATCTTAGATGTTTTGTATAAGAAAGTGTTTTACTTGGCTGGAGTGGAAACAGCAGGAAGTTCACTTGTAGAGTACCCGGGATTTGCACCGCCAACTGATTAAGTCTTATGAAAGTGGACATTTATAACCATTTCATTGTAAACCAACTAACAACCTACCCAAACAAGTAGTGTTCACAACGAAATATTAAGTATACACGCACCACGATACCAATAGTGTAAAAGTGACCTAACCCTGGTTTCAAAACTGCAGGTCCGCTTTCAGCATGGTCAGACAATTAGGTAACGTCCTCGAAACTGATACCTCTAAATAATGGAGATTACCGAGACTCGCAGCGATATCGCAATACCAACGTATTCCCAGACATAGAAATTGTTTATCCCACATTGCAGATTAGTAGACAATTTTACACAATGAGAAAACTAGCGATAAACCTGCTATGGGAAATGAACAAATACAAAGCCATGACAGCGCATCCCACCTATGTAAAAAATATCGCTAAGAATACACTTAATATAAATAACGACCACGATAAGAATACTAAACAAACGCATCTCACAACCATAATCTCCACTGGTCACTCCATGTCCTATCATAGGTTGGGACCCTTCCATCATTCACACGATTAGCGCACTCAAGTCATAACCGGAACTCCGCCCACCCCCAGTTTGCACAAGATGCGACAGACCAACACCCTTGCGACATCAATAGGAAGCCATCTTTATTTCTGGCACTACTTGTAGGAGGCGTGCCGAACCACACATTTGCCACGTCCTAACGCACGATAAAGAAACCTTATTCACCGGTTGCAACAGGATTTAGACAAAACAACCGGACCACTCTGCTTCTACGTAGGAAGAACTGATCGTATGAAACGCCCTAACCATTCTAGTTTTGTTCCAGCGATCTATCTCCGTATTTTCACGAGCGCATTGCACAAGCTAACACCAAATGGATTGTCATTTCTTTGAAGACTAGTCATATTAACGTCCGCATGGACTCCAAGTCAAACATTCCGCAACATAACGCTCTCATTTAACTGCAAACTACTCTCAGTTGATGCAATGAACACAAACCAAAGACTCTATCTTATCTGCACGTTATTAAGAACCAACAGGTGATTATGTTAATTATTAACAGATATATTTTACTGAAATTAAATGCAAGTAAGTGTTTAAGACCATCCGCCATACCACTGGCTGGCCTTGCCTCCAACATGCTCTCCAGATCCCATACTTCCATACCCACCATAGGTGCCGCCACGGGGAGCACTACAAGGAAAACAAACATGTGTTAGGGAAGGATCAAGTGATCTCGGAACGAGCGGATAAATAATAATCTAATTTTGCAACAGCCAGGTTACGGCAAGCACTGCTTTCTCTGCTTCAGTCCGACATATACACTAGTAATACAGGATCATGTGACCGGCTCTAAGCCACACCATATTTATGAGGATTAGTGATACTATTTGGTTGCCCAAACTGATGTGGGTAAGTCGAGGATTGAACTTCAGACTCACTACTAGTAGTCTCTCCGCCCACGACTAATCCCGATATCTCTCAAAAAGTCATTTACAGCTAGCATCCCCAGTGGGTGCACTTCGACATAAACAATCTCGTTCTGTAGAAATTGATGCGAAGCTTACTCCCTACAAACTAGGGTAACTACTTTTAACAACTAAGTGGGCTGTTACAGCCCGACTGTTTCAACACTGAAGCATCTGACGGTTGACCTATGTTCCCAAAACAACGGTAATCCTCACGGCTGTTACTGAGTGACTGACAGACCTTTGTGTACAATTCCCGAACTAAGTCAAACAATAACTCGGGGTCAGTTCTTGCTACGTAGTCAACCCTAAAATACACAGCTGGATCTTAGTTTCCAAACAACCACCTAAACTTTTACGAGTTTTGATCGTTTTGTATTGGGTTACGTAGGACAACATGAAATGACTTACCTTTGACCACCTGCCATGTCGCCTGATCCGCGCTGGCTTCCACCATACCCAGAACTACCATAACCTCCGGAAGCCATGTTGCCCGATCCACCGTATCCAGGGCCACTGAATCCTCCCTGTCCAGTTTGGTCAATGCCTCCGTACACTCCGTTGTCGAATCCTCCTGAACCGTCATATCCACCTTGACCACCGTAGCCTCCGTCTGCAGAACTACTATAACCACCTGGAGGACCCATAGAGCTGTTACGACCGGCAGGAGGGGGGACGGGTGCTGGGCCTGAAGAGCCCATCATTCCTCGTTGGCTTTGCGCGAGAGGTGCGTTTCCACCCATCATTCCGCCACCGGAGCGAGGCCCTCTACCACGACCTCCCGGAACTGGCCCGCCACCCATGGGACCCATTCCTCCTCCCATAGGGCCCATGCCGCCGCCCATCGGCCCCATGTCACCACCACCCATCATATACGGACCTCCCATATTATAACCCATCGGTGGCATGCACCCAGGCCCACGGAGGGGCATCCCCTGAGCTAGTGCTGCTGCAGCTTCCCGAGACAACCAACCACCATAATTGAGGGCATCACCCTCACTGAAGTTGGCAGCGTCATAATCTTCACGGCGACCACGAGGAGGAGCAGACTGAAAAGCACAAAACACAACATTGCGTCAAAAACAGACAACACAATAAATACAAAGCAACTGATATTACTAAATGCAGTGAATACACCCTCACCACAAAAGGTCAGTCAATGCACTCAAAGGCGAAACACAACAATCCCAGTGGTGTTAGTGCAACACACCGTTCTTCAACACTCTCATCTTTGAAAGTATGACTGCCTGCTGACGCTGCAAGTGCAGAATGCAATTGATTGTCGACAGGGTCATGACAGTACGACTCGTGTACAGCCATAGGACAACCGACCCGACTATCTTGATGGGCCCAGGTTTGTAATTATCAATGAGTTGGTTGTGAAAACCGATTAGGAACAAAAAATGACAGAGCTAAACATCTGCACTTACCTCCACTGCTTCTATCACAGCTCTCAAACATTGGACGACATTGTCTGGGTCAGCGACCATCTGTACAACTCGGTCAGTAGATAATGGAGCCAACATCTGATACACCTTAATAACACGCATTTTGTACTTCTAAATTTTATGTTTTAGCAGATGTCAACAAACTTACATCACGAAGGTCCTTAATACGTTCACCGCCTCGACCGATTACAGACCCAGCCTGGCTTTCGTGCACTAAGATTCTGAAGTCAATCATGTTTTCGTCTTCCTCATCATCTCGTTCTGGGTCTTCACTTCGTCTTGGGCGGCGTCGAGATCCTTGGGTACCCATTATACGTTTGGGATCGGAAAGTTTGGCATTCATTATATCCTTTAAAGTCAGCTTTATTAATTTCACCTTACCTTCAGCTTCGGGCAAACGTCGCGCATGATGCTGCAGATGGCCTGCAGGTCACCTTCGATAGTCATTATCCTATCAGAGAAAAAGCAAGTTAGGGTGGGAAAGAAGGAAGGAAACAAAAACTTTAATCGTATAACGAAGCTCATGACACCCTTCCATTTAGTGAAAGTCGTGGAGGGCTCGGAGAACTAGACAACCGTCTGAGGGTCATCACCAAAACTTGTCTAGATTTTTACACAATAGAATTCAATGAATAAGTCACTGGGGTTTCCAGTTACAACAGTAACTCATGGGTTAGCTGGTAATTAAGCAGTCAGGAATGACTTTGCAAATGATATCCAAAAAGGGCTTTACAAATACATTAATGAACCAAAAACATGAAAATAATAATTTAGGCAAACTAATTAATCGACCGAATAGACATCAAGGTGACATTAAGTTTCTGGGTTACCCTACCGTTCAGGGCCTCTGCTGTCGGGAATATTCAGCTTGACGTTATACTGAGACAATAAATGGGATAAAGCAGGGCCGGTTTCAGTGAGCCAGAGTCATCAGTTTGAGGATAAGGCAGGCATGTGGTACCAACCCAAACCATTGGGTTATCAGAGGAGATTGACCAGATTCAGCGAGTAAGTGTCCGGAAGGTGGAGGAACCGTAAAGAATATAAAACAAAGAATCGAGTCAGTTGGTGCCAAAACAGCGATTGAGCAAGTCACTAAATGAATTATGAAAAAACAAACCTGTGACCGTATTTTTTTGATATTTTCCCCACCCTTCCCAATCATTATCCCTGCAGCCCTCCCAGGAATAAGAAATCTGATGGAAACATTGGTTAAATCAACGGAAGAACGCTGGAATTTCGACGGAGGACCATCTTGGTTGTTTCCTGCGTTGTCTCGTTTCATGGCGGCTAAGGCGAATGGCTACCGGCTAAGTGGAAAGCAGACAAACAAACAAGTATATTTTAAACACCATTCAACATAGAGCGGTCCAACAGCTCAAATAAAATGCAACAGACAATTCCAACTTTTTCATGCATTATTTGTTGAAAGACAAAATAATTATTTTTATACGGTAGCCCAAAATGTCAGAAGTCGATTTTCAATCCGAAATAAATTCATTCCTCAGTTATAAGTATAGTAGATTGGTGGATCTGTGTTATTCCTAACAGTTTGCCTTCCACTGGAAGCCAGATTCTCCCTGGAAATGCTCACAAATGCAACTGTTACCACTTGTTCGTGTCAAGCGTTCCAGTCATTGACCACTCGATGAGAAAAAAGGGACCCCATTTTAGTTTTATTAGATAGCGGTTTTTGAAACTGCTTGCTGTGACCTCGGAGATTATTAGTGCTGGGAGGAACAAAAATATAGGACATTTTAATGCCCAAATCACAATTAAAGATACGGTATGCCAATATAAAGTCTACTGGCTTCCAATGATACAACAAGGGAAAAGGTTTAGGCATTTTAAACGCTGATCGTTAGGGAGTTTGGAGTTAATATCCTTAATCAGACATAGACTAGCTGCTTGGATACAGTACTCCAAGTGTAGTCTTACATAGCTAGGATACATAATTTGAAATATTTCGTCAAAGCATTTGAATGCTCAACGGACTGGCCATAATGCATGAAACCCTACTGTGTTGCAGTTCATAGTTGTTCTCAAGCCGTGACTTACTATTGCCCCTAAGTTTTTATGTTCCTGAAAGCATGGAAGAGATCTACCGTCAATAGTATACTAGTAACTTATAGTATCCGATGTGATGAGCACACTGTCTAAAATTAGCCTCTAAGCTCCAACGTCGAGCCCATATAACTAATTCATCTAGGTCGGCATGAAGATCAAAATGGTCAGCCTCACTTCTTATTGTTCTCCAGATTTTGACATCATTAGCAAACAATTTAAGCAATAGAGATCACTCATCTAATTAGAGAAGGAAAAGTAGGGGATCTAAGATGGTGTCTTGGGGCACACCACCCTTGACCAGCTTTTAATCGGATAGCGTTCCACTAACCCTCACTCTCTGCATGCGGTGAAATAAGAAGTCTCCTATCCATTCCTTTACATCACCTGTTACTCGGAAGCTCTTGGGCTTCTTCATAGGACCTAAGTGTGAAACTTTATCAAACGCTTTGGTAAAGTCCATGAATATCATATCGACAGACTGAATATTGTCTGGGTCGCTGTCCAATCCTCTCACACAATGAGTAAGTTGTTCACGCATGAATGCTCGTTTCGAAACCCGCGTTGCTCAGGAGTTAACAGATTGTACAATTCTAAGTGACCTAGTAACTTAACCCGACTTATCTTTTCAAGTAACTTAACTACTATGCGGGTTAGACTGACAGGTAGTTAGATACGATCTTTCTCTTACCATCTTTAAGTACAGGACTGTCTATAGAGTCTTTTCAATCTCTAGAGAGTTGAGTGAGGAAAAGAGACATGTTGAAGAGCATCGCGTGTGGTCTATAAATAATTTTCGTGAGAAATGATGGCAATCGTGGATGGAACCCATCAGGGCCCGGTATCTTACGAGGTTTGAGGTCAGTGACCAATGGAAGAACAGTTTCCTCGATCACATGTACTGGTCCTATGGCTGGTATCTCAGTGGTGTGATTAGCACAAGTATTTTTAACAATACGTGTAGAGTAGACTTCCATTAAATAGCTATATAAAGTTTCAGCTTTTGCCAGATCTGATTCAACTAGTAAATCTGCATTTTCGTACTACGGTAACGGGAGAAATATTATCACTACGTTTCATCCTCCGTTTAATGTACGAAAACAACTGTTTCGGACAAGTAGGACTACCGTATGCCAACTGTCTTCCGTAAATAGTAAGACATCTAGCTATGAGTTTTTTGCATATATTTCTGATTTTTCGGTATCCACACTTAAATGATTTATGTAGTGTTGACAAGAATAAGTCCCAGAAGTGTTTCCTACGCTTCAATAGCTCTCGGGTTTCCTTTTTAACCCTTGAAGGGCAATGTGATAGCTTGTATGTTGACCACGGGACAAACGGTGATGTTACACACTCGAATGTAGCCTTAAATGTATTCCATTCGTCTTCGATCGGCCTATTCTCGTCGACTGATCAGTGTGTCTAGATAACAGTCTCTGATTGCCTGAATATTGGCCAGCCAGATATTGGGGCGAAATAGAGCAGATACTTATTGTATACCAAGTGTCCGAAACCTAAAATAAAGTATGTGATCACTATTCGCTAGTGGAGGAAGGAGCTGAATGTCGATTACATCTTCACAGTGGTGAGTGAAGACAAGGTCCAGAATAGACAGAACATATTCCAAGTCAATATATTTCTGTTTTGCGATACATTGTAAAAGTATAGAAGGTCTTTATCAATAAATCCACCTGAAGGTCTAAGCTCTATCCAGTCTATATGAGGTGTGTCCAAATCTCTAATGGTGGGATGACCTTTGGCCTTACTCCAAGAACAGATGTGTTTTTAGACAAAGTAGTCAGCAGGACAACACGAACTACGGCATATTCCTACTATAGTCATTAACCCGTGTCTAGACTTAATTGTACAACATGCTACCTCACATGTACCACTAGCATGCGTCTCAGATATGATAGATTGTACAAGAAAGTGATCCGTAACAGATAACATTACGACTCCCCCTTTGCGACTTATAACTCTGCAACTTATATCCTCTAATACAGATGTAGCCTGCAATGTTGAAGGAGCAGTTTACATCTACAGTGAGCCAATTTTCTGTGACGACAATTATATCGCGACCTGATTAATCTACTATCAAACTTAGCTTGGACATTTTATTTTGAAGACCACAGGCGTTCATGTAGCACACATTTAAGGTGTTCTGAGAATCATTTTTTCCATTCATATAGGTTTCGGAAGCAATGGCTTCCAAGACCTGACCACCCAAAAACCCTTAATCATAAGGCTCGTTCCGCCATTTAGCTTCCCACTTTTTAAATCCTTAAAGGAATTCTTCCACTCTATTCGACCCTTAAGCACCCAATCTGGTGGGATAATAATATTCGAATTATGAGTTTTGTATGCGTTATTCGGTATCGCGTCTCTTTCTTCAAAATTCCCGAGCACTAACTTCAAGACCCTTCTTGGTTGGGTCTCGCCTCCAACCCAATCACTGAGTCTTGATAATTTCGTGATGCGTACCCCCGAAACTCCTTCATGCAGAACATTTCTGGTGGCGGAATCCGATAACTCCAGATTGTGTGCACGGCGTTTAACAGGGCCATTGCCTTTCCCTAGATTCCGAATAATTAAACTAGCGACGGATTTAACTTCTTTGAAAGTCGCGTTCACTGCTTTTGATCGCGATGTCAGCTCCTGCCTGTTAACTACTGGGAGCTTGTCATTGATTTTTCTTGTGACAGAGTTGTGGGGGCCGAATGAATGACTCACGACAATGTTTCACGAGGCCAAACTTCCTCTACCCACGATAGTGTTAAATGTTGTTTTAATTTGAAACTTTGGCGAAGTGATCTGCAACACATAATGTGTGTCCATCAAGGACTTTGCAGTTAAATAGGTGCTGTTTTTGTCTATCTTTCCTTCTCTTCAATGTCTCCGCGTCATCCCTCTCCAGTCAGTTGCGGTATCCACATTAATACTACTGGGGAGGACGACGGTTTTTATCCAGGTTATCAGTTGCCGCTAAAGCAAATTGGTCACCAGTATCCAATGGTGTCCCACTGGAAATGGAAAACCATACTGTATGTTGCACAGCCAGATGTCTGGCACGTGCTACAACAGCCCTAACGACACTGACATACTCTTCGTTACCAGCACTTAGTTACCAGTACAGTCCTTATAAAACGTTTTGTTAGACAACTCCAGAAGGCTTATTACCTCTAGGATGAGTAACCCTTTGTTAAAACAACAAAACATGCGAAGTCGATATGAGTTAGGCTTTGAGCACTTTTCATTCACAGTGGGATTTAAGTCAGCACACATCTTATGGAACCACTTCTTACATGCATGACATTGCATTACTTCCTCCACAGGGTATACGAAGTATGGCTGTCCAGACTTGAAAGCAGAGCCTACCATCTTGAAAATCTACCAAAAATGGTAACAGAAAAGTGGATTTAAGAAGCGTTTCAAACCTTGACCGAAAAAAATCAAGTCAAAGTTGAGCAAGTATGCTTTGGTGCGATAAATACACGAAAGTAAATTCAACAGACACAAGGTTATAATAAGCACGATTTCTAACATATACTGCATCTGTTTCGTCCCAGTGGTTCGAAGATTTGGAGAGATCATTTCTTCTCTTAGTGTCTCCAATTTTTCTCTCTGTGTGAATGCAATTATAGTACCAGTGGATTTACACGCATCACATTATAAAACCCAACTCCGCTTGCGGCTCCTCCGGGGGCTACTGCCGGTCCCAAACCCGGGTAAAGGAAGAGGGTTGAGCATGGGGTTACTGACCCCATCCCGTAGATAATCAACTCGCTAATAAAACGCTAACTAGAAAAAAATATTCAAACCATTTGGACTCTGTCCTGGGAGTAGAAGGAATAATTATGACGTCTCATGATGAAAGCCGAGTTCCTTCGGAAGTCATGAGGCCGATGCACCTTCTTACAACCAGAGCAACAATTTTTATAGGTACATGGAATGTCCGGACAATTTAGGAAACCAAAAGAGTCTTCCAAATTGCTGCAGAATTGAGAAAATACAACCTGGAGGTGCTTGGAATCAGTGAAACACATTGGACGCAGGTTGAACAACAACGACTATCTTCAGGGGAACTTCTGTTATACTCCGGTCATGAAGAAGAAAATGCCCCACATACACAAGGAGTTGCATTGATGCTGTCCAGAAAAGCACAAAATGCACTTGTAGGATGAGAATCTCATGGACCAAGGATCATCAAAGCCTCCTTCAAAACAAAGAGAGAGGGCATTACAATGAACGTCATCCAATGCTATGCGCCTACCAACGATTACGATGAAGACGCTAAAGACCAGTTCTACGATAGGCTGTAGTTGATCTTCGAGAAGTGCCCAACCAAGGACCTGACAATTCTGATGGGAGATCTCAATGCTAAGGTTGGAAAGGACAACATTGGATACGAAGACGTCATGGGACAACATGGACTGGGACGAAGGAACGAAAATGGTGAGAGATTTGCAAACCTGTGTGTCTTCAATAAACTGGTCATAGGTGGCACCATATTTTCACACAAAAACATACACAAAGCCACTTGGATTTCACCGGATCACACTACACAGAATCAAATCGACCATATCTGCATCAACAAAAAGTTCAGGAGGACGATGGAGGATGTGAGAACCAGAAGAGGAGCTGATATAGCATCCGATCATCATTTGCTGGTCGCCAAGATGAAACTAAAACTCAAGAAGCACTGGACAACGGTGCGGACAACATCACAAAAGTTTAATACGGCCTTTCTTCGAGATGCTGACAAACTCAACAAATTCAACATAGCCCTCAGCAACAGGTTCCAGGCCTTTTATGATCTACTCAATGGAGAGGGAACTACCATGGAGAGCAACTGGAAAGGTATCAAGGAGGCAATCGTTTCAACATGTCAGGAGGTTCTGGGTCAAAAGAATCACCACCACAAGGAATGGATCACTGTTGGTACACTGGATAAAATTGAAAAAAGGAGAAAGAAGGCAGCAATCAATATCAGCCGAACCAGAGCAGAAAAAGCCAAGGCACAAGCCGAATACACAGAGGCAAACAAGCAAGTGAAGAGGAGCATCAGAACCGACAAACGTAAATATGTGGAAGATTTAGCGATGACAGCTGAAAAGGCTGCAAGAGAGGGAAGCATGAGACAACTGTATGATACAATCAAGAAACTTGCTGGAAATTACCGTAAGCCAGAAAGACCAGTGAAAAGCAAGGAAGGCAAAGTAACCACCGACATTGAAGAACAACGAAACAGGTGGGTAGAACACTCCAAAGAACTCTTAAATCGACCAGCTCCACTGAACCCACCCAACATCGAGGCAGCACCTACAGACCTCCCAATGGATGTTGGCTCAACAACAATTGAAGAGATCAGCATGGCCATCAGTGTTACGGGAGAACTAAAGACATTTGGCTGATTAAAACCTTTTTACTGTACATCAAATTTACTGTGTTTTTTGGATGTGTTTGTTTTGCTTAACGTTTGGACTTGTTTGTTTATATCATTCCTTCCGGACATTTTGGTTTCTTTTGTCATTGGTTTGGTATTTGGGAGTTTTTTGCTCCAGGAACCTACAAAATTGAAGGTTTGTTTTGTAATTGTTATATTTATTGTTGTTAGAACGACTTTGGTCGATTATTAGTGAATTGCGAATAAACTTGGTATCATATTTGGAGTTTTGGTTCTCTTGCCTACTTGGGTTCGTAATTTGCGAATATCGACGGCCAGTACTTCAATAGTTGGAACGGGCAAAAACTCATAATTGGACGTAACATAAAGTTCTTCAATTATTGGTTCTGTGTTCACACTGGATTAGTCTGGACAGTAATTTGGGTCCGAATTCTGGTTCTACTGAACGAAGGTGTGCTATGGAAACTCGAAGCAAAAGACAGAAGGAAAACGACGAATTGGACGGTAAAATTTCTAGAGCTGTTTGTGGTATGTATGACGTTAACGATGATAAATGTGATGATATTAGTCTTAATAGTATGTCCTCTAGCCGGCTAAGTACTTCTAGGTTAAAGTTAGACAAGGCATTATTGAGGAAAAAGAATTTAGAAAAGAGACTTGAGTTGGAACGGCAACTTAAGATGTTAGATCTTCAAGAAGAGGTTGATATGGCCGAATTAGAATGCTACGTCATCAAGGACGATGAACGATTGCCCGTAGATAAATGTGAAATAAATGCTAAAGTGGAAAATTATTTGAATGGTGAAACGGGGGTAATAATCACTCAGGAGAGGTATGTAACATTTCAAAAATCGATTGGGTTGATGAATTGAGGGACACTTTACATACATTGGTCGGTAACATGGCTTTACCTAAGATCGATATGATGTGCTTTGATGGACAACCGGGTCAGTATTACCGTTTCATTAGTCAATTCAATAGTCTTATAGAGAGTAAACTGTCAGATAAGGGCCGATTACTGTCGTATTTGTTATATTATTGCAAAGGAAAGGCCAGAACGGCAATTGAATCTTGCATTTCTTTGCCCAGCCATTTAGGCTATGATAGGGCTAAACGAATTTTATATGATTTATTTGGTAAAGAGCACCTTGTTGCGCGGGAACTAATTGCTGAGTTATCAAACCATAAATCTATCGGAAGGTCAGATGACGTATTAACTGACTTTGCCATTAAGTTACGTAATGTATGTATAACGTTGAAGGAAATGGGATACATGTCTGACGTTAATTCTACGGCTAATTTGGAGATAATAGTTTCATGTCTGCCACTAGAATTGCAAAATAAGTGGGCTGAAGTCGCTGATAAGATTATGATGCATGGGAAAGAGCCGAGCTTCGAAGAATTTGTGGTCTTTGTAGAAGAGAGGGCCAGAATTGCCCGGACCCGTTATGGTAGATTAGTACAGTGTAACTCAAGGTTCGTTAAAGGGAATTCTGAAGGCCAAGCTGATAGATCACGCTTTCATGCAATCAGACGAGACCCAAATGACTCAGTCAAGGTATCAAGTTGTGCAGTTTGCTTAGGTGATCATGAGGCGACAGATTGTCCAAGGTTGGCAGAAATGAGTGTAAGAGAAAGGAGGCAGGAGATAAGAAGACGTGGTCTATGTTACTTATGTTTGAGGAAAGGTCACATAGCTGTGTCATGCAACTCAGGCTTCAAGTGCGACGTCGAGAACTGCAAGGTTAGACATAAATCATTATTGCATATTGATGGTACTGATAACTATGTGATGAACCTAGCTAAGGATGGGAACTCCTCAAGGGTTTGTTTGGGCATCGTTCCAGTCAGACTATATGGTCCCAAAGGATGTTTGGAAACATATGCACTTCTAGATAGTGGTTCAGACACTTCTCTTGTATGTGAAGAATTAATTAATCAATTGGGTATCAAAGGTAAAGAGACTTCGATAAGAGTGGCGACTGTGAACGGAACTACCAATTGTGAATGTTTGGAGGTAGATTTGGAGGTATTTTCATTAGATGAACGGGGTTCTATAAGGATCAACAAAGTTTACACGACCAAGAAACTTCCGATCGATCATGCAGCACCTTAAACCGAACCCCAACTGAAAAGGTGGAAACATTTAAACGACATAACCCTTCCGAGGTTGCAAAGTAATTTTGTAGGGGTATTGATTGGGTGTGATGCTCCAGATGGACATTGGGTCTTGGAACAACGTCTGGGGGACAGGAAGCATCCGTTTGCTGTGCGAACCCATCTCGGTTGGATGATTATAGGTCCCAAGGGGGCATCAAGGTCTCTACATCAAGTTCAGTGGTGTCATTGTTCTAATGATATTTTGCGAGATATAGAAAGATTATATAATCATGAGTTCGAGGATACAGATACGTCTCGTAATGGATATTCTGTCGAAGATAAAAGAGCTCTAGAAATAGTTAGTAATTCCTTTAAACTGGAAGGCGGCCATTTTCAAGTTGGTCTACCGTGGAAGTATGATAGGCCAAGTCTACCGAATAATTTGGAACTGGCTGAACGCAGACTAGAGTGTTTAAGGAAAAGGTTTATGAAAGATAATAGTCTTCTGCAGAAATATCAAGCTGTGATGAATAAACATTTAAGTAAGGGCTACATCATTGAAGCTAGCAAGGAGGGATTTGACCGTGATGCTGTTTGTTGGTATATTCCTCATCATCCCGTTATCAACCCTAAAAAGCCTGGAAAACTCAGAATTGTTTTTGATTGTGCAGCTGTCTATCAAGGATTTTCTCTTAATGATCAGCTTTTAAGAGGACCAAATACCGTCAATAGTTTATTTGGTGTGCTTCTAAGATTCAAATTAGGTAACATAGCATTAGCTGCTGATATCGAAGAGATTCCAAATGATGAGAGCAAACGCTGGTTAGAGATTTTAAGTGAATTTCAGATGGTTGAGAACGTTTGTTTTCCACGTTGTGTATTGTTTCCGCAATCAGATCGTTCGCTCCTGGAACTTCATATTTTCAGTGATGCCTCGGAAAATGGATATGGGGCAGTGGCATACGTCCTCTCTTACATTTCTGACACTGAGGTATGTTCTCGTCTTGTTACGGCTAAGGCAAGAGTAGCCCCGTTAAAGGTCCAAACTATACCACGCTTGGAACTTACGGCAGCAGTTTTAGCAGCTCGCATGGGATCCCAGCTGCAGTCAGAATTAGATATTAAGTTTTGAGAGGTTAAATTTTGGACGGATTCCATGATTGTCTTGCACTATATTAGAAATGAAAAAAGCCAGTTTAAAACATTCATAGCAAATCGGATTTCGACTATTCATAGTCTTACTAAAGTAGACCATTGGAGATTCGTACCTTCTAAAGAAAACATAGCAGACTTCGCATCCAGAGGGGTTAAGTTTAACATCGATGATGTCAAGGTATGGGAGGAGGGTCCAAGTTTTCTCAAGAAGCCAAAGGAGTGTTGGCCTGCTGTTGATATACAAGGTCCTGAGCCCCACCTTTTGGAATTAAAGAAAACAATGTCCACGCATGTGATGGTTGAAGAATCCACTGTCGATCTACTTATCAATTATTATTCAGATTGGACTAGATTACTTAAGGCTATTGCATGGTTGACCCGATTTAATCTATATTTATTGATAATGCGTTCTGGTAGAACAGACCTGTCTCTACAGATGGGTATGCTCAGAGTTGGTGAGTTAAATTTAGCTTGTTTAAATCTAATTCGATATGTCCAACGCATACTATTTCGGAAAGAGATTGAAATGTTGTCGTCTGATACCATTATCAAGGTGAAAATAACAAATTCACCGTTACGAACTTTAAATCCAATGATGATAAACGGATTATTATGTGTCGGTGGCCGACTTCAAATTAGTTCCTGGCCCGAGTCGAGGAAGCATCCTATAATATTACCATCGAAGCATAAAATTACAAATTTGATTCTACAGTATTATCATATTTTGGAAGGACTTGTTGGGGCTACACAGGTAATGGCAACAGTTCGAGAAAAATTTTAGGTGCTGAGGGATGGTGTAGCCATGAGGAGGGTAATAAAGGATTGTGTTTATTGTAAAAGAAGGAACGCCCGCCCCATCCAACAACTGATGGCACCACTACCTCCGAGCAGAATAGAAGATGGTGCCTATCCATTCTTATCAGTTGGTGTTGATTATTTTGGACCCATTATGGTTAAACATGGTAGAAGTACCGAAAAGAGATATGGTTGTGTATTCACATGTTTAAGGTTGAGAGCTGTGCATCTGGAAGTTGCATATAGTTTTACCACAGACTCATTTATCATGGCATTGATGAGGTTTATCAGCAGGAGAGTCTATCCGAAAGAGATACACAGTGATAATGGATCAAATCTGGTGGGGGCTGAACGCGAGCTAAGAAAATGTCTTCTTGAAGCTATAGACGGTAGGTAGCTACTCGGATCCCTAGGCGTACTGGTGTAAGTCCTAGGGATCACGAGGTTGTTAGTGTGTTGAATGCTTGTTGTTGATTGTTTTTGAAGTATATACTTCTCTTCCTCCTACCTATTTACTTGTCTGTGAAAAGAACCAATGTTCTTTTGGTCGGGAGTGTTAAGGGAGAACTAAAGACATTTGGCTGATTAAAACCTTTTTACTGTACATCAAATTTACTGTGTTTTTTGGATGTGTTTGTTTTACTTAACGTTTGGACTTGTTTGTTTATATCATTCCTTCCGGACATTTTGGTTTCTTTTGTCATTGGTTTGGTATTTGGGAGTTTTTTGCTCCAGGAACCTACAAAATTGAAGGTTTGTTTTGTAATTGTTATATTTATTGTTGTTAGAACGACTTTGGTCGATTATTAGTGAATTGCGAATAAACTTGGTATCATATTTGGAGTTTTGGTTCTCTTGCCTACTTGGGTTCGTAATTTGCGAATATCGACGGCCAGTACTTCAATAGTTGGAACGGGCAAAAACTCATAATTGGACGTAACAATCAGACAAATCAAGAGCAACAAGCTAGCGGGACCAGACAACATCCTGGCAGAGGCACTGAAAGCAGGTGTATCAGCAACTGCAAAGATACTCCACATCCTCTTCAGTAAGATTTGGGATGAAGAACAAGTACCAATAGACTGAAAAAGGACTTCTGATCAAGATACCAAAGAAAGGTAATCTCAGCAAGTGCGATAACTACAGGGGCATTACTCTCCCTCAATACCAGGAAAAGTCTTCAACAGAGTATTGTTAAACAGGATGAAGGATTCCGTAGACGCCCAACTTTGAGATCAACAAGCTGAATTTCGTAAGGATAGATCGTGCACAGATCAAATCGCAACTCCACGTATCATTGTGGAACAAACAATCGAATGGAATTCATCACTCTACATCAACTTCATCGACTACGAGAAGGCATTTGATAGCGTGGACAGGAAAACACTATGGAGGCTTCTTCGACACTAAGGCGTGCCTGAGAAGATAGTCAATATCATACGGAACTCCTATGATGGACTAAACTGCCAAATCGTCCACGGAGGACAACTCACCGACTCGTTTGAAGTAAAGACTGGTGTTAGGCAAGGTTGCTTACTCTCACCGTTTCTCTTTCTCCTGATCATCGACTGGATCATGAAGACGTCAACGACTGGAGGAAAGCACGGGATACAGTGGACAGCTAGGATGCAGCTGGACGATTTAGACTTCGCGGATGATCTGGTTCTTCTATCACACACGCAACAACAAATGCAGGAGAAAACGACTAGTGTATCAGCAGTCTCAGCAGCAGTATATCTCAATATAAACAAAGGGAAAAGCAAGACTCTCCGATACAATACAATATGCACCAATCAAATTACACTTGATGGAGAAGCTTTGGAGGATATGAAAACCTTTACATATCTGGGCAGTATCATTGATAAACACGGTGGATCTGATGCAAATGTGAGGGCGTGGATCGGCAAAGCAAAACCAGCATACGTACAACTGAAGAACATCTGGAGCTCAAAACAATTGTCAACCAACACCAAGGTTAGAATTTTCAATACAAATGTGAAGACAGTTCTACTGTATGGGGCGGAAACCTGGAGAACTAAGAAAGCCATCATCCAGAAGATACAGGTGTTTATTAACAGTTGTCTACGCAAGGTACTTCGGATCCGTTGACCAGACACTATCAGCAACAAGTTACTGTGGGAGACATCAAACCAGATTCCAGCGGAGGAAGAAATCAGGAGGAAGCGCTGGAAGTGGATTGGGCACACTTTGAGGAAATCACTCAACTGCGTTACAAGGCAAGTCCTCACATGGAGTCCTGAAGGTCAACTCGGGAGGAGATGAAAATCAAAAAACATATTACGCTGAGAAATAGAGACAGACATGAAAAGAATGAACAAAAAATGGATAGAACTAGAAAAGAAGGCCCTGGACAGAGTGGGTTGGAGAATGCTGTTCGGCGGCCTATGCTCCATTGGGAGTAACAGGCGTAAGTAAGTAAGCAAGTAAGTAAGTAAATAAGTACAATATAAAACCCGTCCAGATAAGAGTGATGAAATACACATTCTGGGCGGTCTCACTAAGTAAACGAGTCCTTTCGTTTTTCTGTTAGCTAACGGTAAATATCAGTCGATTAGCATACTGATAGCAGAAGTACTCATGCACACTGAACTTTAAAACACAACTATACTTGTTTCTTGAATACAATGCAATTAGCAAACAATAAATCCTTCTATAAAAACATGGGATTCCTTAGACTGTAAAAAACACACATTTTTCGAAGGACTCATACATTCTGTATCAATTTTGAAGGTGAAAAGTTGTAGTGCAACTCTCCACATTCAAAAAGTATCTCAGCCTCTAGTTCACAGTCATGAAGCACACCAATCGAGTGCGTCAACCGACCATAATCTCCACTGGTCACTCCATGTCCTATCATAGGTTGGGACCCTTCCATCATTCACACGATTAGCGCACTCAAGTCATAACCGGAACTCCGCCCACCCCCAGTTTGCACAAGATGCGACAGACCAACACCCTTGCGACATCAATAGGAAGCCATCTTTATTTCTGGCACTACTTGTAGGAGGCGTGCCGAACCACACATTTGCCACGTCCTAACGCACGATAAAGAAACCTTATTCACCGGTTGCAACAGGATTTAGACAAAACAACCGGACCACTCTGCTTCTACGTAGGAAGAACTGATCGTATGAAACGCCCTAACCATTCTAGTTTTGTTCCAGCGATCTATCTCCGTATTTTCACGAGCGCATTGCACAAGCTAACACCAAATGGATTGTCATTTCTTTGAAGACTAGTCATATTAACGTCCGCATGGACTCCAAGTCAAACATTCCGCAACATAACGCTCTCATTTAACTGCAAACTACTCTCAGTTGATGCAATGAACACAAACCAAAGACTCTATCTTATCTGCACGTTATTAAGAACCAACAGGTGATTATGTTAATTATTAACAGATATATTTTACTGAAATTAAATGCAAGTAAGTGTTTAAGACCATCCGCCATACCACTGGCTGGCCTTGCCTCCAACATGCTCTCCAGATCCCATACTTCCATACCCACCATAGGTGCCGCCACGGGGAGCACTACAAGGAAAACAAACATGTGTTAGGGAAGGATCAAGTGATCTCGGAACGAGCGGATAAATAATAATCTAATTTTGCAACAGCCAGGTTACGGCAAGCACTGCTTTCTCTGCTTCAGTCCGACATATACACTAGTAATACAGGATCATGTGACCGGCTCTAAGCCACACCATATTTATGAGGATTAGTGATACTATTTGGTTGCCCAAACTGATGTGGGTAAGTCGAGGATTGAACTTCAGACTCACTACTAGTAGTCTCTCCGCCCACGACTAATCCCGATATCTCTCAAAAAGTCATTTACAGCTAGCATCCCCAGTGGGTGCACTTCGACATAAACAATCTCGTTCTGTAGAAATTGATGCGAAGCTTACTCCCTACAAACTAGGGTAACTACTTTTAACAACTAAGTGGGCTGTTACAGCCCGACTGTTTCAACACTGAAGCATCTGACGGTTGACCTATGTTCCCAAAACAACGGTAATCCTCACGGCTGTTACTGAGTGACTGACAGACCTTTGTGTACAATTCCCGAACTAAGTCAAACAATAACTCGGGGTCAGTTCTTGCTACGTAGTCAACCCTAAAATACACAGCTGGATCTTAGTTTCCAAACAACCACCTAAACTTTTACGAGTTTTGATCGTTTTGTATTGGGTTACGTAGGACAACATGAAATGACTTACCTTTGACCACCTGCCATGTCGCCTGATCCGCGCTGGCTTCCACCATACCCAGAACTACCATAACCTCCGGAAGCCATGTTGCCCGATCCACCGTATCCAGGGCCACTGAATCCTCCCTGTCCAGTTTGGTCAATGCCTCCGTACACTCCGTTGTCGAATCCTCCTGAACCGTCATATCCACCTTGACCACCGTAGCCTCCGTCTGCAGAACTACTATAACCACCTGGAGGACCCATAGAGCTGTTACGACCGGCAGGAGGGGGGACGGGTGCTGGGCCTGAAGAGCCCATCATTCCTCGTTGGCTTTGCGCGAGAGGTGCGTTTCCACCCATCATTCCGCCACCGGAGCGAGGCCCTCTACCACGACCTCCCGGAACTGGCCCGCCACCCATGGGACCCATTCCTCCTCCCATAGGGCCCATGCCGCCGCCCATCGGCCCCATGTCACCACCACCCATCATATACGGACCTCCCATATTATAACCCATCGGTGGCATGCACCCAGGCCCACGGAGGGGCATCCCCTGAGCTAGTGCTGCTGCAGCTTCCCGAGACAACCAACCACCATAATTGAGGGCATCACCCTCACTGAAGTTGGCAGCGTCATAATCTTCACGGCGACCACGAGGAGGAGCAGACTGAAAAGCACAAAACACAACATTGCGTCAAAAACAGACAACACAATAAATACAAAGCAACTGATATTACTAAATGCAGTGAATACACCCTCACCACAAAAGGTCAGTC